CACATCATGTTTATTTCTATTAGGTGATAGACTGGCACTAGTTTTCACCACACAGGAATACCAAGTATACCCATTTAGCCAGTAGCAGAAACGGCGAGAGAATGACAATTGTAAGAAAAAAGAGATCACAGCTGGTCCTGTGGGCTGTGAAACTGGGGCTTAAAGGAGTGCTTTGCACTCGCCTCAGTAAGGAGCTTTTGATACACAGCTTTGTCCGTTTCTAGGTCCAACGGCTATGCCATGCTGATGAGCCCTAGTAAGGGCGAAATAGCTAGCTGTCCATGGCTGCCTATGCGTAAGGTAATGACCAAACTTACTTGTTAAATTTAGGATTTTCCTGACTGTGTCATGTAAGGGACCGAGCCAGTACTCGGGTCTTAAAATAACTGAGGATCAAGGTGCTGCCGTTGCCCTTCAAACAGCTTGACCTTCGGATGACCAAGTAGAAAGGGCGCGCGAGGCCGCCTCCAAGAAGGGGGCGTAAAAACAGGGCAGGCTTGAGGAAAAGTATGAAATCACCACACACACCTCGTAACTCCCCACCCGCCACTGGTCCGCTCAAGCACGCGGAAAGGGGACAAAAGACAGTAGTCTCTTTCGAAGATAGCCGTTGTTAAGGTCGTCACGCAACGCTTCTCCTCACTGGGGAGGAGCGTTGCGTGACGACCCTAATAACGGCTGTGAAGAATACTAGAAAATCAGGGGACGTCTATAGGTTGTTATTTTCAAATAAGCTGGTGACAGGCGAAAGGAGTTGAAATAAGGCACTCTTCAAACAACAAAGTCGTTACAATCTTTTATTAGGGAATTCGAAAAAGGCAGCCAAATTGTTCGAAAACAAAAAAAAAAGAAAAGGCCCACATACTTTCAAACTACAGATGAATTTACTGAACGCGACCTTAAAGTCATTCTCGTTCCGAGAGCCACTGGCTCCTAGGAGTTTGTGTCAATGTTTGCTGAAACTCCTGATAGCGTGACAGGAAAGCTTAGCAAGGGACAAACATAACCTCGTGTCATTGAGAGTTGAAAAGTGCTGGCATTTGAACTGGCTAGGTTTCCCCCTCTAAACATAAAATTCAGTTTTATAAGTTTGGTTGTTTTTTACTTCAAATTTCATCTCAAACGCAGGATGGTGTATGGGGTGACATCAGAGAGCAAGCAAAGTTGCACCGGTTGAACGGGGCAAATTCATCCACGTAAGACGCTTCGTAGCCCAGAGTATCTGTCCCGTGATTTCATACGAATTCTTCAATTCCAATGCGATAGCCTCATTTCTAGAAGCGATTTCCTATTTTTTCATCTGTTTTCTTCGTGATTTTCCAGGTCGAACATTCTTTCTCTTTTTACCCTGAAAAAGAATTAGGGGTAAAAATATCAAAATACATGGGATGCAGCGTAGCCGACTAAGGTCGTTCTCATGTGAGTGTTAGAGACTTTTAGATTAGAGGACGAGGTCAAACACGAAGACGAGATTTAACTCTTAAGTTTGTTTCGCGTATTTAAAAGAAACGACAGCCAGGAAAGCTTCATTGTACATTTTTTAACGAGAAAAAGTTAACACCCTTATTTTTCTTGAAGGTGGTTAATCCCTCCGCCGAGAGCAAAACGATAAAACTTCTAATATTTGATAACTTGTTTCCGCCACAACGACTTTCTCGCTAAAGCTGATGTTACACGAGACGATTCGCAACGACGATTTTTAGCGCAACACAGCGTTGCAACATTGTTGCGACATTTTTTTGAATGGTTACAACATTGTTCCAGCATTGCAACGCTGTGTTGCGCTAAAAATCGTCCTTGCGAATCGTACCGTGTAACATCACCTTAAAGCTCATGACGACGGCTATACGTTTTCCCGCCAAAATGATACTGGTTCACGTGCGCGCACTACTTAGGGGCCGACCATTTAACTCTTGAGGGGGGGTGGGTGATTTCTGGTCGTCAATACTTGAATTTTTTTCCTAGCAATCTGGTGGGCAGGATATTTTTTCCCTTTTTTTTCCCATAAGCTTTCTATTGCATTTGTGCTGGATGCAATTTTTTTCTTCCGACAGGCGCTTGCAGGAAATTTTTTTTTCAAAATCACCCACCTCCCCCCCCCTCAAGAGTTAAATGGTCGGCCCCTTAGTATTGAGAAAGTAGTCGTCTCGTCTTAGAATCTTAACAGCATTTACCTTGTTTCCTGTTCGAGACGCTTTTGGTGCTTTGCTGTGTTTTGCAGCACTGAACGAACTCACATCTGAAGAGCTCTGTGCTGAATTCCGTTTCATTCCTTTCTTCAGTCCCCCGAAGCCAAATTTAGCATCCTAAAAAAAAAGAACAAGAACAAGACGTGTGTGTGTATTTTTAAGTACGGATTATTTCTGTGACCAATCACAACAAGAGCTGACAGTCAAGAAAATACGTGTAGGCGACGCGAAACACGTGCAAACATGTGCGAACAAGTCACGATTCGTCATGATCTTACTTCTGATTGATTCGTTGAGCATGAGATTTCACTTCACCAATCATAACTTGCTTGTTTGGCTGCGCTTGGCAACAGCCATAACAACATTTATTTGCTTCGAGTTGGAAGAAAAAGCCTCATTTAAGCTACAACTGAAGAGCGCCGTGCGAGAAAGTCCCCTAGATTTTTGCACATTTTGAAAGTTTTTCAAAGTTACTACAGGCGACTTTTGTTTAGTAGATAAACAAACACAAACACCGTTCCGCTAGTTTGCTCTTCGTTTTCAAGAAAAAAAACCTACGTCACGTTTAGTTTCCATTGAGAAATTTCCTCGGTAGTGTAATGAAAAAAATATGACAAGGGCAAGATTCTTGAGGCATAAAAAAACGTCATGTAAACATTCACTTACCTTCCTTTTTCTCTTTGCACCCTTTCCACTAAAGTGAGAAAAAAAGTTTTCAAATACATGAGAAAACACGACCGTAAGGAGGTACGACATTTATTTTCCTGTGCTTATGTCAGCATGATGTGATAACGAGTCAATAACTGCAAAACTAAAGTTCATATCAGTCATCGTTGTGTAACGGTGTATTATAAAGATATTAGCTTTGGTTCAGGAGCAACTTTTACAAATTTACAAAAAGCAAAAACGTTGCCCCCACTCAGGTCACAAATTTCCTGAAATTTTATTTCCCCTCATACCTATATTAGTTTGTTTGAAGCCATTTTATTATTATAGCAGCTAATCAGTTACAATTTTATCTTCACGTTCAAGGCTCACCGTTTAACAACTTTTCCTTTGTGGATACTCGAGGAATCTTTCTCAGCCTGAATTTGAAATTCATCACTGGCTCTTGCTAGATCTGAATTTGGAGCGTTCTTACCACCTGAAACAAAAAAGAAGAATAAAAAGGAATAAAAAATGGCCATCGTTTAACAAATTCAAATTCAGGGGGAGCTGGGGAATTTCCATGATTCTTAGCAACCAAACATTTTGATTCAGAAAATTGATTAAAATTGACTGTCAGTAATAACATTTACAACAAATTTTACTGTTACCCTAAGTTTTAGGATTTGTTTTTCTGCAAAGAGAATGTAAAATCATTGGTCCCATCTAATATAGCCCCAATGAGTTTCTGAGAAGCACCAATAATTTCCTCTGACATGATTTTCTTTGACTCTGAAGATGACTACCGCACAGGTTGTCGAAAAGTCAGTCACTGTCAACAACAACAGTCCTATTCAGGACTACTACGTTCACCTGGACGATCAAACTCAACCTACTTTTGTTATGATTTCTATTGCAGCATAGACTCTGCCTAGAAAAGTGAGTGTTATAATTTCCCTACAACAAGTTACTTGGTATGTATCACGGTTGTGCTTTAGCAGTGCCTAGTGGCCACTTTGCTCTTGTACGACTAGGAATCTTAGTTTTTTCATAGAAGTCCTATGCTTGACACCTTCGTTTTCATGGGTTCACGGCACTGTGGGCTCCCATCAAGTTTTCCTAAAACCGGCAGTCAGCCTTGTTGTATACTTACGTTTTTTGAAACTTTTTACTGCTTCCATCATCTCCTTCTTTTCTTTTTGCCTTTTTTGTAAAACTTCTTGTTGAACCTATAGATATTGACCAAAAACCCTGGCTGAGTTAATGTAACATATTATACTGTGAATGATAGGCCTTGCTAACATGATCCCTTCTGCATCTCATTTGCTACAGTGTCTAAACTGTACCACGTAGGACGTGAAAATGAATGTGAATGCTATTAAGGACTTCTTTATGTTTGACCCAGATGCATGACATAAATATATTTATCTAAGAACCTAAAAAATCACATTCTTTCTTTAAAGAGGCTACATGTAAGTTGTGCCATTCGCTATCTTTTTAAAAAGCTAAAACCTTTTCTTGCATAAAATGAATTAAAAAAAACAGTTGTTTAGTTTTGCTATTTAATACTTAACAATTATTGGACAAGGTTGAGCAAAATGTGGTGATTTGTCAGTGGCAAACAGATCTGCAAGAAGCTGACAGATTACGATATTTTGCAATAACCAAGTTTAATAACATTGTGTTATTATTCGATCGCCAAGTTGGTTTTTAATGAATATCTTTGGGCAGCAAAGTGATCTGCCATTTTTCACGCAAGAGCGATCACAAGATGGAAAAAAGCGTGGTTTCATTTCAACTGAGCAGAACATTATTTGCAGCCAAACAAAGTTGGACGGCATTACGCATGAGCAAACCATTACTTGTAGGCAGTTATTTACAGGTCACATGGTGGGCTTTCGGCCAATGAAAAGGAAGAAAAATGTGCATTGAACGATAATATAAATTATTCAGGCATTGAAACTGTTTCCTGTTCTCTGTAGTAATGGGATAGCAAGGATAGACATGAATAGAAACTTGAAAAAGGTTTTAATGCTATGCCTGCACAAATCCCTCAAAAAGTTATTATGATTAGTGTTCCCTGGTGAAATTCCTTTGATATCTTCTTCTTCATAACTCTACAGGAGCTTTTTGTGTTTGGGTAAGGGCAAAATCCCCTGATACTACAACTCTAATCACACCTCTTTGACCAAACTTTTGTGTAGAAGTCATTAATCTATTAATTCTTAGGATTATATAAAAATCACATTATTGTGGAATTTTTGTGAATTTTCCTTTCTGGCCACCATAAAAAAGGGTTAATTCAGCACCACAAAGAAGGCTTTTGAGGTACCTTTTTGCCATATTTCTTCATCTCACGCTGCTTCTTTGCTTTCTCTGATCTTTCCATAGCTTGCTGCTTGCTGAACAACTTTGCTCGCACCTAGAACAAAAATGTCATCATTAACTGTGATAAAAATGTAGCTCAGTTGGGTTGTTAAACCGACACAGTATACTACTTCTGACTTTTTGCCTTTCTTCATTCTAAATTGTGGATCTTTTTCACGGACATGGAAAATCAAATTCAAATTCATTCTATTTTTGTACAGCAGGGGAGGAAGTAAGGTTTTGGAGTGTACTCCTGTGCACACTGCACTTACAAAATACATGACGTGAATGTTAAGCATGTCACAGAAATCACAGAGGTAGATACCTGATTGTAAGACACACCACAAAATTACAATGGTTTTAGATCTATCGAGCAAAATTTCTTCAAAAAATACCATGCCTTATGACCATAAAAATAGTAATATCCGATAGAAGTAATCAAGCTAGGGGAAATTTTGCTAAACTGTTCACAAGATAAACGGAAATTCTAGCGACATAAATAACTAAACAAGAACTTGACTTCAAGGAGACTTGCTAATGAATCGCCTCTGTGAGAAACCATGCAATGTGCTTTTTTGATGCAATCTCCCCCTCCCTCCCCACCCTCCTCTCTCTCCACAAGAACAGGAGGTGAGTTGGGATTTCTTGTCAAACACCTACCCTTTGCATGTGATCATCAGTTTTTACCATTTCTGCAAAGTAGTCATCTGGTCGCCTAGTTGCTACGTCAAGCTTCTTAAGTTTAGGGAGAGCTATATTGACAGCAGCTTGGGCTTGCCTGTAACTAAAATTTAAAAAAGTTCCAAGTTACTTAAACATCTTTCTTACAGTGAGAAAACAGAAACAGAAACATACTGTGAGATAAATCAGAAGGTTTGGTTCATGTTCAGTAGAATACAAAGTTTAAACATTTACAGTAAGCTCATAAATGGACTGAGAGCGGCTGCCCGTGGCACCTTTGTATGCTGACGTCCGAGCTTACTGTTCACTGACACATGTTAAAATGTATTGCAAGAGGGCATGTCTGTATCCTCTCATCCACGACTCTCCATTTCATTTTTTGGGTAAAATATCTAAGTGCAAATGGGATAATCAGAGATTAGTCAGGGCTTCACCATTTTTTGGAACAATGTTATCAACTTGAATTTTACATGAGAACATTTTGTCAACTTTCTGTTGCTGTACACCCCTCTACAGTGACACCCAGCTAGAGTCCCTGCTATTCTTCAGACCATTTTTGATTCTGTTTATGACACCTGCACTGGACACTGTCACAGTACCAACAATCTCTGCTTTGGACACAGTGGAAAGTACATTGTAAAGAAACTTACAATCTCATTTCTCGTTGGAAGTCATCATGCAAGCTTTTCTCACTACTTGGTGTAGATGTTGCTGATGTCTTTGGATTGACACCTTCTTCATCCTGATCTCTGGTGACAGTTATGTCCATTCTTTCAAGCCAGTCAAGTTCTTGAGCAATTTGCTCCAGTTTCCGCTTCATGCCAGGCTGTGTGGCAAAAGAGAACCATGTCATTTAAGGGCAAAGCTTAGAATAATCATGCAGGAGATGTTGTGTGTCACATGGTAATTGTGTTTTTAGTTACTCTTATCGCAAACTTTGTCAATAAAATATGTTAAAATAAAAAATGTAGTTTTCTGCTACATACTTAATATTACTCTACTTATAAAACGATATATGTTCAGAAGTACTTCGATCCTTCTGCAACTCCATAACAACTCCTGATTCAATGGGTGAACTCCTGGGAATGTGTCAGAAACCACTAACAACGTCTGTGTGAGAGGCTACACCAACCATGCCTTTGAACCAGATTGTTTTGGTGCACAGTGGTTTAATTTGGTACTGACCGCAACATTAAGTTCGAGCAAAGGCTCGTGAACTGAAGCAACAGCTGTTTAATACAGCAATCTTCTCGTGTGCGGATTCTACGGCACTAAATGCAGAAATTAATGTACTGTAATTCAGACTGATATTTATTTAATGTTTTGGTTTGATTTAAGTGCGCTTTTAAAACAGCCATTGATTGCTACAAAGCCACCAGCCATGCAAGTGGTGCAACAATTGATCGGACCCTCAATTATGTCTTTAAGTTGGGAACAGGATTTGTTTTCAGCTTCCTGGAGAAAACAAATAATAGTACTGCTGTTCAAAAGAGTTCCAGATTCAGAATATTATAAGTAAGTGTACTTGCTACCAAAATATTGAACTCACGATGTTGTTATTATAAACACGTGCGAGTTTCTTTGGCTGGAGTCTGTTCAAACCGACTTGAAGTTTACCGCTTGCAAAATCTCGTCGAAGCTGTGAAAGTAAAGTATACAAAGCGTAAGATAATTAAAGATTATATTAATATAGACCGATTTTCAAAACTACCAAATCTGACCTCTTGATCTGATAAATCAGAATCGCTTTCGGTAAAACCATCTTCCAAGTCGGCCATTTTGTGTTTTTTTGTCTTCATTCGAGTAGAGGCCCGTAGAGGCCTGGTTCGGGTAACACGGGAATCCGCTGACCGGTTCATCAATATTCTGTTTATATCGTTCCTTCGTTTCCACCCACGCCGGCGGCGGATTAACTGATTAGCCATGGATCAGTTTTACGATGTTTTTAAATTCTATGCTGGGCAATTTGCCAACATTCCTATGTTTCCAGTGCTACAATGTGCTCATTACACAATTATGTGCTTGAAACTGCGAATGGAGGCTGGTAAGTGCAAATATACACACTTCGAAGTACTAGCTATTGTACAGTGTATTGTAATATTTTACAAATTGAGTTTACTTGGATTATAAGTGCATGCCCTACTTTGGCAGCAATGTGACCAGGAATTTCTTAAATGGCAAATTTGTTAATGCTACGTTCCCTTCACATACTTATCAAACCAATGGGATGGAAATAAAATGGGCCAAATGTTTTGCAGCTGTACCGGTCATGTGACCATAATTATACATGGACAAAACGTTTTCAACCCTGAGGGAATTGTTACTTGCAGTCATTCAACACTGTGTTTGGCCTACATTTTAAAAGCATTTGTAGAATATTAAATATTCTAAAAAATGTTTAATATTTAACTTTTTGAAAAAAAAAATGTTAATGGCACAGTCAATTTCAAGTATACCCAACCTCCTTCACTCCCTCTCGCTGCCTCTGGGCAATAAACTCAAGATCAGAGTTAACATCCTTTTTGACAGACCTAACAAATCTGACTTAAAAACAGAGGCCCAGGAGAGAGGACTGGGGATGAATCAGGATTTTGTATTTAATTAGTGGAAGAGAAAGGGCATTGTACTTGGCTCCATTCAACCATCTGTTATGTGGTTTCGTTGTATAATAGAGTTCTTTTTAAGTTTTTTCCAAGGAGGTGTTGTTACCTGTTCTAATTGGGATGGAGGAAAATTGTAACTTTACATCATATTGAGATGTCTGAAATTATTCATTGGCGTTTTTCTCTTAGCCTGAGGAAAAGCCATCTCCACCACTGATTTCCCTGTAAAGTGATGCATGCAAAATTTCCATCCCTGATGACATGTCACTACCCAGATCTTGGGTAGTGCTTCTGTAAAGGAAATCAGTATAGAATTTCTGCACTAGCTCCTCAGACCTAATTTCACGGGGAAATTTATGGTAGCATTGCAAAATTTTGGCCGTCTCCTCAAGCTATTTTTCTCTAAGATTTGTGACCTTGACTTTTGTAGGTTCATTGTCATTTGCCTACACCCATCCAATGTCTTGCTGGGTTTCAAGCATCCTCACCTGTTTTGCTGGGACAATTATGGCAAACTTTTTGCTAGGAAATGCTCTCATTTTACCATTGTTAGACATGCAACAGATTGCTATTTTGACTGTTATCTGGTAAGTGATAGTGAGTTGTAGCTACAACCATTAAATTAGTGATCTAATAACCTAAAAGTAAGTGGAGGCTCTGTAAATGGACAGCTGTATTTATGGCCGTCTTCATAAAACCTTGTTTTTCTCAACTCCCATACAAACTCTGTGACCGTATTTTTTACATTCCCGTAAGCGGCCAGCTCCAGTTACAGACACCTTTCTCACGTCCCGAGCATGTCTGCTCATGAGAGGTTCCACTGTATTTTCCTCTGTGAAAGATATCTTGAGGAAGAATGAGCAAAACAATGCAAGAGTCCATGAAATTACCTGCGCCATATACACTGTCGTGGTTTCTATACACATCTTATACATAATATATGCTGGGCACCCTTTTCATATGCTTAGAACTTTTGGGCTTCTTGTGTTACTCTCTGTTTCCCCACCTTCCCCAGCCAAAAAAGGGACTGAGTATTAATAGCTTTGTCAGAAAGTTTTGAATTAGACGGCTGAGTTGTCAAAGTGAGTGGCCAGTCCAGGGATATTTTATTTAAAAAATGCCATCTGTAAAGAAAGGCCAAGCAGAGTAGCTGGCCAATACTAACCTGAAGTAGCCGGCGATTTTCGCTGACAGCTGGCTACTTTTGACAAACACTGGTATTAAACATCCCTATCTCTCTTAACTGATTTTTATTGAAATTTCCATAATGAATGCACACATGACCGGAGGAAACAAGACTTGTGTCCCAGTAGATATCATTCAACCCCTTCCATACCAACCTAAACCATGAAAGGTTGTCCACACCACTAGGGTCTAGGTCCACTACTCTTCACGAACAGCAGTGTGGATTCTTTCACATCCCACTAGAATCAAATCAGATAAGGAACTGAGAGACAGGGCCTTGTGTCACTTGCCATTATCCATTTTTTGTAGTATTGATTAAACCGTTTTGTTTTCACCAAAATAAAACTTGTCCTATTTCTTTTACAGGTATCTTGTATTCTTTTGTCCACTGGATTTGTTTACAAAGATTTTTATGCTCAAGCCATTTTGGGTATGCATTGTTCATTCTAGAGGTTTATTTTTTTCTACTTACAACTATAATATGTCAAGGGCAGAGGTGACCTTACCTTGGTTCTACAAAGTGGCCTTGAGACTGAGATTTATCAGTAACTGGTTTTCATTAAAATATACTGTTAAATAATGTTTTTTAGATTGCTCTTCTTGTTTTGAAAGAAGCCCATAGAGCTAAAAATGTTCTAAAGGGGGTTGAAATGGCTTCCCTAGCCTACCCAGATGCGTGGCTTGTCATGATCGCCATAGGAACTGCTAAAGGTATGATTATAATAATTAATGATTATTGCCACCAATGCAGAAGGAATGCTCTCTTTTAATGTATTCAAGCATGTGATCAAACCATTTTTAAGGGTCGGACAAGATACAACCTAAATACCTTGACACCTTATATCTATATTTTTCTATTAGCACGCCTGTATACTTAAAATTCACGTCTTTTTTCTTTATTTTTAAATGCCACCTAGTATTCAAATTGCCTGTGGCGGAAAATCTCTATTCCTCATAAGCTCTGCTTCGCGGAGATTTCCCCGCCACAGTCACTGATCCTTCCGAGTTGTATGTTCATTTTAAATTTAATATTAATTAACTGTTTATTATCTTTTCTATTCTACTTGTAATTTATTCTGTGTGGCAAGATAATAAAATAAAATAAAATTGGAGGAGACAATTGGTTAAATGGATCTGAAAATCAAGGGCAAGTATCATAAATCCTCCCCACGTGGGGGAGGAAAGATTGCGTGACGAACCCCTTAGAACGTTTGCGTGGGAGGCTATCCTTGTAACCCATGTAAATCTTCTTCTTTGTTTTCCATTTCAGCTGTCTTACAACCTTGTTTCAAAGCCTTGTTTCTTGTTGAATTTTATCCTAACACTGGTCCTATGTTGAATATTTGTCCGTAAAAAAAGACAAAAGTCCTCGACCTTCATCTGATGAATCTGGACATCACTTCAAACAGGTTCCGTTTTAACTTGGATGTTTACTTCGTGAAATAGGTAGTAACATTCAATAAACAAACAGTGATGACTCTGTAACTACATCTAGAGGTATGGTGGGTTAGTGGTTAGTGCTTTGGACTCTGGATCAAGAGGTCCATGTTTGAGGAGGAGGTCATTGTGTTGTGTTCTTGGGCAAGACATTTTACTCTCTTAGCACAGTTGGTCATTGGGCAGCCTTTTGTGTGAGAAGTTTTGAGTACAATTCCCAGGTGCAACTTCCAAAATCATTGTTTTTACTTCTTTCCTTTCCGTGTAGCTTTATGTAACTTTAAATACCTGTAACACTGAGCACTGATGGAGAGAGCATGGGGAATTTATTGCAAGTGAACGGCTCGGGAGCATACAATCCTAATCTCCAGGTTGCTATCATGCATGCATGGCATGTATGTAGCCAGGATATTGAACTGTCTATCACTTGTTATCTGGTGACCTGCTTTTCCACATTCTGTTGGGTGAAACTTACGTAAAGCAAAGCTATTTTAGGCAAACTGCTGTTAAGAACGCCTGATATTTTCTCACATTAGCTGTGGGCTTTATATTTCAGCGTCACTAAATTGGCCATATTAGGCAGCATCCTTGTCATTATGGTGCGTAAACGCATGTTGGATTTCTCTACACCTGAAGTTCTTCTTCTTGTTGCTTGTGTTGGTTCAGTTCTTCAAGTCATCATGTTCTTGAGCAACACAAGCGATCCATTCACGCATCTGGAAAAAGCTGTTGCTGCTGTCCTCTTTCGAGAACCAACTGAAAAGGCTAACACATCGGACAGCAAGAAGAAAAAGGAATAGACCTCAGTTATATAAAGTTCATGCATGGCTGTGGGAGTATGGGGGTGCCAGAGGATGTTGGTACATCAAAACCACCAGGCAACCCCACCTCCTCCACCCTATAAATTTTTACAGTGCTCTTGGATTCTGATACACCATTGCAATTAAAATGCAGGTTTATTGTATAGTTTGTTTGTATCTTGTAGCTAGGTTCAGTTGTCCAGCTGTTGAGAGGGACTCAGTTGTATTGCTCTTGCCCCAGGAAAGGTGTAAATTGCACATGTTTGTCCCAGTCAGGTGTTTGAGACAGAAATCTAAATAATATTTTAACCCATATATCATAGGTATAAATTTGCTGAGGGTTGTACATAAAGAAATATATTTATGTTTAAACAGCTGTTCACTGTCCCCCTTAATTTTTGGTTTTAAATGTACCAACTCAGGGTTCAAGATAAAAAAAGGTTTGAAAATTTAAAGATTGCTGCAAAAGGTGAAAAGAAGATTTTTGGTAAAGTGAGAGAATGAAAGCCTGACATTGCCTGCAGCACTCAGTTACCAAGCCGCCTACATTTACATCATTTACATCATACCTGTCTACTTTAAAACTTATTGAGAACCCTGGCGATAAACGAACTAATTCTTTTACACATTTGTTTAAGCGTGAAACATGCAAGTTTGTCTAGACAAACCGTTGCATTTTTTTGTAGTCACCTTTATGTTTCTACTCTTGTAATCAAGATAATTTTTTGCACTGTTGCTGTTTAAGGCCGTTTGTGAATCCTTTTGACTCGTTTAAATTAAAGTCAGTTTTGTATTTATATTGCTTAACGGAAAGGATTTCTCATGTTTGAGCTGCGCCCTGGATTGTGAATGAAGAAGCACAACTTTTTAATTGTCTTTATTTGAAGGGGAACTGTTGCAAAGAAACCCCGGGGGGGTACTTTAGGAATTTCTGGGTGGGGATGTGCTGCTGGGACCCTGGAACCCTTAACCTATACTAGAGCTAGTTCAGCTGAATTTTGCTACCCTATACTAGAGTAAACTCCCCAAATCCCCTCTATCCTAGAGTAGCTGTTTCCCTAGTCTAGAAAAAATCTTCAACCAACTGATCAGTTTCCTGAAAAATGATACCCTATTCTAGACCCAAACGCTCTGATTTATACACCCTATCCTAGAGTAAACTACTTGAAAACCATACCCTTCACAGCAGCACATACCTATATAGCCCATATATGGCAGTACCCCCCCTGGGAAAGAAACTCGTTAATCAAAATGAAGATACCAATGTTGACACTATTTTGGTAGTTCAAAGCATGTGTTATATGCAAAGCCTTCTTAAAATCACTATATTTTCAAAGTTTCTCAAGAAAGAAAGTGAAATTTCAATTCAAAAAGATTTTGGTCACATGGTGAGGAGGCAAGGAAATAAGAAGACATAAATTATATCATAATAATTAAGCCACTCCTTGCACCCCTTTTCTTCCACCTCTCACTCCCCCTCCCCTTGCTGCCTTATCACCCCTCCCAGTCAAACACACTCTTAGTTTAAGTGTATCATGGTAATTACTCAATATGCCCAAAACAGACTCAGCGACATTCATGTACAGAAATTAAAGCTACTTGTCTGATAAAAGGCAGCACATGTTGACTCTGTATGGTCCTAATAGAGCACTGAGAAATACCAAGCTGGTGGAATTTCTTGAGGACAAAGATTTTCAGTGTAAACATACATCTGATATTTATTTGACATGCTTATAGTAAATGTACAAAATACACCTTATTTTGTGCTATTAAAAATTAATATTGTCATTGTTGTATACTTGCTATGATTAATGATACTTAAGCTATCTCCATCAATGAATTCCATACTGTAGAAAACTTTATCAGGTAACTTGGAAAGGCCTTTCACTGACTTGGCCAAACTTAAAAAATTATTTATAAAAAATTCTAAATTTCTATTTGCAAAAATCCTTATAAATTGATAGTACCACTTATAAACAGTACTGCCATAATCAGGTTTTATTTTAATGGAGGCAGTGTGGCCGAGTGGTCAGCACGTTGGACTCGCATTTTAGCAGTCAGGGTTCGAGTTCCACTTTAGCTTCTAGCTGGATTTATTCACGGTAGTCCCGAGTTCAAATCCATGGCCACGCTTGTAAATAGCCAATTGGTTGCCTCCTGCCAGTTGGGGTTTTAAATCCTGTTATGTTGAATTAAGTAAGTATTTGAGTGGGGTGCCTTTAAACTACCTGGACGCTAAGTGCACTTTCCACTATAAACAAGCCTAAGTTAAACCTTTTTTAAACAACGTATGATTTTGTCAGAAGCCACAAGTTGGAAGGTTAGAATGGGGAATTACCTAACCATTATCAGCCTGGGTGCAAAAGAGTTAACTATCAAAGTTTTAATGTCAATATTTGTTTAATAAAAAGATGATGTAATCAGACCATGCCTTATTTTGTTACTGAAATTTGTACTCTTATATATGAAAAGGCTTACAGCAAGCTTTTATATCCTAAGCTTATAAGGACCAGCTTTCCTATGCCAATCTGACAAACATTTTCATGCCACAAAAAAAAAGTTACAGCATATAATTCTATTTCTTAAAATGTAATTCTTAGTTTAGTTATAAACCTTACACATTGAAGTTTTATTTTACTTGGCTGACCACTATTGACTAAGTTCACACAGTACTGGATGGATTTTTGACCTGCCAAATAATTCAGGACATCTGATGTTTTGTTCACTTGGAACCATTCAATATTTTTGCCCAGTTATCAGCCTATATGCACAGTGCTGGTTAATTAGCAAATCCAAATCTCCCAGCTGAGACACCATGGATCAATATACAACCACGCCTTTGCTATAAAAAAATCTAGTCAGTCAAGCTGTTCACACTATGTCAGTCAAATTTGCAAAAAAATGGCTAAAAATGGACCTTGACTTAGGCATTTAAATTAATTTTTGGCATGACTACACATCTAAATTGTTAGTGTAGTTAGGGTGGTTATGTGTGAATGGATCATCTAAACACAAATTTTGAACTGGTCGAAAATTCATCCTTATACGTGTATTGTTTTATTGGAGCCTTAGTATACGTATTAAGACAGAAAATGGTTCAAAGTGAACTGATTCGCCACAAATATATAATTGTGCATTCTAGGACTTAACTTTATATATGACACCAGAAAAACATGTTTATGTTCTACAGAGTGTGTCAAAGCACGATATTAATTTGTGCCAGGCTCCAAAATTAATATTGATGCCAATAAAAACCTCACTAATTAGCCTCAGGTACATGGTATCATTATGTTGAAGGTCTAATTTTTTCCACACGTCTGCTTATAGTGTTAAAATAATATGTGTCTTTTGATGACCAAATACATATGTTGATTTTAGAACTTATTTAGTTATGTTCTGTCACTTTTTTTTGTAATTTCGAGATAATGTGGCATACTATAAAGAGATCTTTTGTCAACTATGAACTTAAAGCATATACATGAAAAGTTCTATAAACATAAAAGAATTATAACATTTGCCCTCTTAGCAAGTAGCTTTGAAATACTCATCTAGTAACAATGGTGTAATCTAAGCTAAAAATCGAGGCTAAGATATCCTAACCAAAATTTGACCAGTGGTTATCTTAGGAAGAATAATTAAATTAATAATTATTGTTCCCTACATCATTTTCACTAGCTCAATTGTCATATTCATTATAAAAGCAAAAAATCTAAGGAACCATGTGGTTGCTATCAGAAATGATCAAAACCAGCATTAATGTATAAGGCCAGTATAATAAGTTACACGTGACAGCAAAGTCCAATTTGATGTGACAGTGCATAATCATCAATTTAAAGTTGACTTCAGTGCTGTGGAATGTCTCCTTCATCCATTTTAGCTGTACTTCGAATGATTTTGTTCATTATTCTACTGAACATCTCAGTCATTATGCCGGGTGGAACCAGGTGGTGGAAGGAAAAGGAATCTACATTTGATTCAGTGTCATCTTCCCTCAGCGCTTCAAGTAGTTCTTGGATTGCAACAAGCATACAGTGCCTCATGTTTGGTTCTGGATTCATCCAAATCTTTGGGTAAAGCAGGTTCCACATCTTTTCAAACAGTTCATTAATCAGCACAATTTCAACATTCTCACCTTTGAACATTTCTCTGATATCACCTACCAAGGCTCTTTCAAGAGGTTCAAGGGCTTCAATAGTTTGATCATCACCATGAGTTAAAGCCAGACTAATTAACTCTTGGATTATGACAGTGTATATCTCCTTCAGATCGTGAAAGCGATAGCCTGGCCCTGAGCTTGCAACCGAACAAGAGGCACCCTCCTTTACGGGAGTCAAAGCCACTCGGCTGTCATTGTGTGGAGTTTCTTCCCTTTCCACTGCATTCCCTTGTTCTGAAGCTGTCTTAATTGTGATAGTTGGTTTAGTGCTTAAAGTGTTTTTCCCCTTTTCCAGTTCTGGCACCTTCTGAATCAACTCCTTGACTGAAAGCATTGGATCCTCTACCATCTTCTTGACTTTTCTTGCCAATGTTTCAAGAATCTTGGGATCATCCACATAATCTGCACCTAACAAGTTGTAAGATCTCACAAAGAAATGCGGTAATTCCTTTTTTGTCAGAGCTTGCAAAAGGTTTCTACAGAGCTTCATGAAGCATTCCACTCTGTTACTCTCAGTCCAAACTTCAGCACCAGTTTCTTCAATTGTCCACAGAAGTAGGGTTTTCAAATGAAAGGACACCAAACCCTCTGGATCTTTGGAAAGATAGGTTCGATGAAACTTTTTCAGGCAGCAGTAACATCCGCGCTGGACTTCATTCATCTCCTGACTTAACAGGTATTCTGCATGGGAAAAGGAAATTCTGAAGTTGCATTCTGGATTTCCACCATTCTTTGGAGGCTTAACCACTAAATGGAAGCCCTCCTGAACAACTTTTTCAACTACATCAGGTGAAGGCCATTTTCGATCTCGTTCTACCCAATCCCATGCAACCTGCGGCCATCCAGGGCACCTGAGGGAAGGAACCATATCTATTCCACCCACAACGGTTGGCACAGTTTCTTTTGCATCTGTTTCTTTTCGCACTTCACTTAAAGGTCCCAACAGGTGATCCAGAAAGAAGTGATCTGGGCAACTTGGTTCACCTTTTTTTGCTAGGGGCTGTTCTTCTGACATGTCAGCTTCACTTTTGCTGTCATTTTGGCTTTCATTCTTTCTCTGTTCTTTGTCCTTGTTTAGATCTGTTTCACTCACTTCCTTTGACATGGAGAGTTGTGAGGACTGTTTGTGGCTCAGTTCTGATGACCCTCCCATTGGTAATTGACTTGCAGTGGGTTTTAAGTCTTCAGCAATTTTTTGACTTCCATGAGCATTTTCTGGAGTGAGAAATGACCCACCATTGGATGGCATTGTCTCTTGGGAGACCTTTTCACCGTCAGACAAGTGAAACAGGAAGGAATCTTCTAGAGTCACAATTTCCTCATCACTTTCCTCGCCTCTTTCCTCATCACTACGTTCTTCTGTATAAGCCAAGCATTCTCCACTTTGGTTGGCAGGAAGTGCTGCCATGCCTGCCCCGTACTCTATGCTCATCAATATGAACTCTACCGCTAAACGAGGGAGTGCGTGAATCAATAACTGGGGGTTGTTATCTTGCCATGACATCTTAAAATCATTATAAAATTTAACCATTTTCTCTGACAATTCAGCTTGTTCTTTGGTGTATTCATCGCCATACGCTTGACATATTAAAAAAAACATGTATTCAATTTCTGCGAGGTCATAATTAGGGAAGGAGTGTTTGTTGGTCAGGCTTTTCGCAAATTCTGATATAGAAAATGAATGGTCAAAGTTCAGCTGAAGAGCTGGCCCGGCCTCTTTGTTTTCCCACTCACCTATATTGGAGTCTCTGCCCCAAATGCTACTTGTTACTACAGCCTGTAGCAAACGAGGGACCATCTTTAAAGCTGACGCTTCTGTGCCGTAAATTAAGGGATGGAACTCCTTTATGGCTGAAGTAGCGACGTATGGAGTGTCTTCCACAAGGCAGGACTGCAATAAGGTGTGATCCCGTCCTTTGACTCTAACGTGCAGAGGGTGCTGAGGCAAATATTCGATCATTTCATCGTCGATCAACAGATATTCAGATGAGGGAATGACCATAATATCATAATCTCCAATATCATCGGCAGCCATAGAGCTCTTCAAATCTTCGGCGGAACTTCCATAAAGCCGTAACGTGAAACCGATTTCGGTGCGAAAAACGTCCTGCAACAGGGACACAAGGAGACAACCACTTTCAGCACATGCCTTCCAAATGATTCCATTTCCATTACTTCCCTCTTCCAAGGACTTCAAGATGAGATTTAGTTCCTGAGTTTCTGCGTCTTCCCTAGAAGTCGCCAT